TGTTGAGAGTTCTATCTGGCATGTGTTTTAAGTGAATAAAAGAAAGTCTTGACCACAGATTGGAACAATATAGTATTACATGTTGCTTTTCTACACTTGTTCTATAACTAACAGAACAGGTTAAGTGTGACTACATAGTTTTCACCGAAAGCTATATCTCTCTCTAGCTACTAAAATTTTAAAAAGGTTCATTATCAAAGCATACAGATTATTTTGACTGTTCATTTGAATCCAATTACAATAACTTTTCATCAATGGAATACTTAAAATCTAAAGAAAAATATAAGAAAATAGAAATACTTCTCACTTCATTTTATTGTTGTAGCTCTATGTGCCTTTGTCTGCTATGGATAGCAAATTCAGTAAAATAAAATCAACTGACATCATTCTCTTTGTAAACATAGACCACCATTAGGCTTACTTATTTCTCAAAATAGTTCAAATGGCCCGATTAGAAACGGACTTATTAAAAGAAAGCTGATGTTTTCTGATAGTGAAAGTAATCCATGCTCAGGTTAGAAAAATAAGAAAATACATGGAAGCACAGACAAGAAAACAAAATTTAATAACATAACCTCTATGGACATTGGAAGTACTCAAGAAAGGAATTTTAAGTAGAACAATGGAGCATAAAAAAATTATTTTAGCTGTATATTTTCAGCGTAGGGGCTACAGGTGTTTCAGGTTTTTTTCTACATAAAATCTTTGAGCCTATTTTGTACTTACTCTGAATTTAGAAAACTTTTAAGTAGGCATTTTTATTTTTTAATCTTTTTTATTTTGAAATAATTTTAGACTTACAGAAAAGTTGCCAAATTAATACAAATAATTCTCATTTCCCCTTCATCCAGCTTCTTATAGTGTTACCATCTATAACCAAAGTAAATTACTGAAACCAGGAAAGTGATATTAAGATAGTACTATTAACTATCACATGGACCACAGTCAAATTTTGCCAGTTTTCCCACTAATGTCCTCTATGGCCTAGGATCCCACATTGTAATTAGTCATCATATTCCCTTAGTTTCTTCCAATCTGTGACAGTCCAAGCTTTGCCTTATCTTTCATGACCTTGACACTTTTGAAGACTACTGTTCAATTTATAGTTTTTACCAGGTATTTTCTCATGACTACATTGAGGTTGTACATTATTGGGAAGGATACCACAGACCAGAGTTGATGGGTCCTTTTAAGTGCATCATACCAAAGGGCTTGATTCCACATGTTAATATGTGTCACTGGTGATGTCAGCCATCATTTGGTTAAGGTGATGCTTGACAGGTTTCTCCACTATACAGGTATACTCTTAAAGCCATCTTTAAAGATATAAAAGAAACAATGGGGAAAATTATCTCTTTGTATAATTCTACCCTTAAAAGAAATCATTTAAAACTTGGCAGTCTACAGGATAAATACAGTCATCAGTACTTGTGGACTGTAATTTGAATCTAACTATTACCTGAGCTGTAGAACTTCCTGCTGCTAAAATAATTGGGATTTGTTTGAAGTTGGTTACTGCCTAAGAAAAAGGAAAAGCAGGATGGGTAGGTTTTATTAATTGGCATCCACTCTTTGAACTATTGTGGGAAGTCAAAATTGTAAATGAGGGGAAATAGAGAGCAACTTTCTTGCAAACTGATGGTACAAGCTGAGTAACATTTAAACAACCTGGCAAGTTTTATTCAGTGGTAAGAGGGATTGAGTGCAGAGAGACATGGCAGTGTTTTTACTTATTTCTCTGTTAGAGTAACTCTTTTAGTCTCGTGTTGTCACCTGAAGCATTAGACCATAATTACATGGTCCATGTGTGCCTAGAAACCATTGTCCTCAACTACAACAGTGCTGTTAGTGTAAAAAGAGCAAGGCGGCTAAGGAATCAGTTATCTGACATTGTGAGTGTTATTGTTATATGAGTGGGTATTCTTACAATTCCACATGCAAGGAGAACTGCAAGGATGTGACAATCAACACTTTTTTTGCAGTATGAATTAAGAAGCTTAAACATTAAGAGGTCAATCTGTCTACTTTCCAGCAGCCCCAAAGGGTACATTTTCTTGCTGACTGCTTCAGAACACTTCATGAAACACATGTCAAACTTGTCAGGGCTGTCACCAAGAAAATGATCCGTGTGGCAAGGGTCTTTCTCTGGGAAACAAACAGATGTCTTTTCTCAGCAAAGAGTGACAAAACCCTGCCATCTATCAGAAGAAATTTTTGCCTGCCTTTAATGTCCAGTAGTGAGGAAATACTTTGGTAAAATAGCTTCCTTTCTTTGCAGTTTCACTCATTATTCAGTCATTTGCCAGTGATACTTGATTTGCTGCCTGGGCTATTTTAATGTTTTTATTAATCTTGAATTGCATGTAAACTTCTTACAAAAATTGACCTGCAATGTTAGAAAGACAAATTAACACTTAAAAAAAGAAGCCAAAGCAACCTCTGTAATCCTTTCTGGAGCGTTACTGTCTCTAATTCTGATGCTTTTATTTATAATAAAATCTCTTCCTGTTATTTTCATTATTTTGATGGTGTTATACTATAGCAGTTATGATGGGTTATACTCTAGCAGGTAGGGTTAAATGCCTTTTCCACCCTCCATAATTCTTTCTACATCCAGATCACAGCTATCCTTGTACAAAGGAAGGAGGAGATTGGATCTTGTTACTTACACAAGTGGTTTAAAGGCACAGAAAGGCAAGAGAGGTCATGACATGTCTTCAGCATAAAGGAAAGTGCAACAGATTCTGCACCTGTCCTGATCAGAAGGCAATGTTAGAAGAGACAGGCGTTTACAAACCATACTTTATTACTCACAGAAACTCAACAGTAAAAAGACTGGCATTATATTAAGAAAGTTAGTGAAATATGAAAGTAAAGTATATAGATATTTCCTAGCCCTCAGGATTATTATTAAGCTTTTACATTTCTACTTTTACTTAGAGCATCATTGAAGGTTGCTAGGAAAACTAGATAACCAAGCTTCTTAAACCAGTAAGTCTTACTGGTACGGGAAGTTAGCAGACTGTCCCCATGATAAGCTCCATTCTTGTACAGATTAAAGGATATGAGCTTGATAATGGCTGCCTTGGCTGATGTTGCTTCAAACATTTTTGCTTCTTTCTGTTTTTAGTACTGTTCTAGTAAGTTAAGATTGCTAGAAGTATGACTACTGGATAAGAAAGGATACTGTGCTTTTCCAAATTACATATTAGTTTATACTCCACTGTTTTAAATAGCTCAGAAAACATTTATTGGACTCCAACTATATACTAAATGTGCCCTGTCTGATGGTAGGAATATAAAATAAAAAAGATAAAGCCCTGCCCTGAGGAACATATAGATAAAGTCAATGATACCTAACAAAATGTCTTGCCACCTTTACCTGCTGATTTAATACTTTCCGTCAGTGTCTCACCTGGAGAGGGCAGTGGAAAGTGTAGAGTAATATTTACTTTTTATTAGGATAGAATTAAAATGTAATCTCTGGAAACTTTTGTCTAAAAGTGGAAACTACCGGTTCATTAATAAATTTTCAAGAGTAAACAGAACATATCTCTATTCTGTAGAGATAATTTGGAAAAAATATTAAACAAATACAGTGGCTTTTATGCTTTGAGAAGTATATTAAATTATATTGCCAAGATGATATTTGAAACACTCTCCCTTGCATCCCATATAGCTATAATATTCAGGTTGGTTGGTCATATTGATAATTTCTGTACTTTCCTGGTGTTCACAAAGTCTGAATCACAGATGCTACTGAATTTAGAGACAAAGTATATAAAGGAAGCTTTCTCCAACTTAATGTTTACAGGTGAAGTGTGGATTTTCATGGGAAGTAAATACGTATACCTTGACTTACAACTGCTTATATGGTCAATTTACTAAGCAAAGCTCAACAAGTATTTAATTGAATAATGGTTTATAAGATACAGAGATACAGGGTGATGCGTTCAGTGAAACTGATATTACTGTTGTCTAGAGATACTTAAGAAGTTGATAGTCCTGCTTTAATTAACTCAGTAAAGAGTTAGGCAATGCTTTTTACTTCAGTTAATAAATATGAAAGATCTTACTCGATAAATCAGAAATATTAGAAAAGCCAGACTGCTTTGTACGTAGGTATCATTGAAGGAACAGGTATGATGAGATGTACTTCAAGTTGTGAGATGAAATATTTTTCCAGACTCTCATTACTTATACTTTGGAGGTCACGCACAGTACTGAACACCAGCAGCCCTTTATTCCTGTGTGGCCAGACATTATGATGTCACGCCGTCTATTCGCCGTGTTCCACAGGAGCCTGCTCTGAGTTATGAGGCCACCACCTAGAATCGAAGCTGTAGGAGATTGTGAGCCTTCTATAGCCTGACATGCCCATGTTTCCTATTTTAGAGCTGACTGATCTTCAGATAACATATGGTGGTACAAGTAATTGGAAAATTGGCAGACCTGTCAAGAAAGTATGCTAGATGACACAAAAATGCCATGCCTGGAGCACATAGTGTCTCAGAAGTTAAATTTAATGTTTTTCATCAAACAGTGAAGTAAAAATATCTGATTCACCCCTTTAAAAGGACACCTTTTAGTGGCAAGTGTGATTTCAAAAGAAATTTTTAGGTAGTTAATAAAATACGTTACTTTAAAAAAAATATAGCTTGTCCCAAAAAAAGTATACACACTTTGAATAATTATTAATTCCAATGTTTCTTTTCAGATTTAACCCATTGGAATTAATAATTACTCAAAAGTGTGTATATATTTTTGGGGGACATCCTGTATATCATAGAAATTTTTAGTCCATGTGTAGTATAAAACAGTACCCACTGTAAATACTTAAATGTTACATAATTTTACCATTTTGTTTATAGCCTCTTCCCTAGGATTACTGGAGTCACGACAGTCAATTCTTCAGAAAAATAGAGTTAAAATGTATTAAGTATAGCTGATAAAATGCCCTAAAGTTTATATTTTAATGTTTTCTAAAATTTATTTCACAGGAAGATGAAAATGAAGCTGAAAGAAAAAATATATCTCAGGAGCTCAGCATGGAACAGAAAAATCCAAAGAAATAAAGGATTTTCTGTAGTGTTTTGAAAAGTTTGCAACTTATGTAGTAGCAGATAAAATTTCTAATTGTAAAATGTTAAATTGTAAAATCTTAATCTGCAAAATGTTCTGAATAAAGTTGTTGAAAATGAAATAGGAGCTTGCATTTGAAATTTGTATGTTTTTAGAGCAATTTAAACTTTTATATAAAAGTTAGGCCTTTAAAATACTTTTTAAAAAATTCTTAACTGAAATTTGAGAATAGAGAGAATTTTTCTCTTATCTATAACCTAAGTGTTAGCACATCTGAATGACCTGAAAGAAAATTGAAAGTCTTTTATCCCCTTACTAGTCTCTGTTGTCTTCTTCAAGGGCCTTAACAGAATTTCAAATATTTTTATAAAGAAAAACCAGCATAGTTCAAAAGTGAACAGGCAACACGTACATGTGAAAACACTTAAAATCAGCCAGTGCCACAAGATGAAATACCATTTCCTGATTTCAACTTATATATCACATAATACTCTAGGATTGCAGGTAAAAGCTAAAAAGAAATACATTAACATTCTCTGGGGCAGAAGTAGGGCCATGACTTTTAATTCATAAAATATTTATTAAGGACCTACTATGTGCTGAGCCCTACACAATTTTCCTGGACATCTCAAAAACAGTTCCCACCTGTTTGGTTTAGGCATTTTGTAAGATTTCTTTGATTTCCATCTTTGTCAGTTCTCAGTAACCAGCCATTTTTCTTTCCTTGGTTCTAATTCCCAAGCTATCATTTGCCAACTCCAGCAGGAGCAAAGAATTACTTGCTATTTACAGAGCCAAATGTTTTTGACAGATGTCTTTGTTTGATTATTTAAGGCAGAGTTTCTTAAAATAAGAGGCAGAACTTTGGAAGGCTTAAAAGAGAATGTCAGAAATACAGCTCCTTCCCTGTGAGAATAGAATCCATGTACTTGCCCGGGAGCCATAGTTTTATCACATGCATCTGACAAGCTCAATGAAGGTGTGACAGTGGGACAAGCTGGCAGCTGTGATACAGTGGGCTGAAGTGGGAAAAGCTGCAACTAGGCAAGATAGGAAATTCATTGCTGTGTAAGCCCCAAATAATGCAACATAAGTGGATATCAGGAAAACAGCTGTATCCCACAGACTGGACTCCCTTGAAGAATTCAGGAGCAAAGACTTTGAGACTAAGAAATGAATATTTTCCCCCTATTTTTTCATATTTACACAGATTGAAATTACATTAATAGTGTCACTTTTCAAAAGAAGCAATAATACATGATTCATATAGCTGACATTTATTATATTTATTATTTGCAGGTACTATACTAAATGCTACTTAGTATGCACTATGCCACTAATCATCCCAATTAACATATAATATAGTTACTATTACTCTTCCCATTTTACCAATGATTGATCTGAGGCTCAGACAAGGGAAATAAATTAACCAAGGTCACCTTAGCTTATAATTGGCCTAGGAGGACTTCAAACCCAAGCAGTCTCACCCCAGAACATCACATTTATCACTGTGAAAAACTTAATATTATCCTTCTTTTCAATCCACTATTCTCCCCCTTATAGTACCTCATTCATTACCTGCTACCTCTCCTTTAGTTATTTCTTTCCCACAACTTCTTAGCCACACCTAATTCATTCTGAAGACTGGCTTGAGTGAAGTAAGTGAAACAATTATAACTAGCATTCCACCTGCTCCAAATTATGAAAATCGTGCTTTATCTTTCCTACAATGGGTTATGATGGAACAACAAGTATGAAAGCATCTTATTGCTTCTCTATGATTTTTCAAGAAATTTATGTCCATGTTTTTCAGTAGACTGTTTATTCAATTATTAGTGTGCTGTCATCTCAGCTCTTAATTCTTTAATTTCTAAAATGAGTTTTGGGGATGAGAGGCATCAGTGACACTTAGCCATCCAGCAGGCACTTTAAATACTTACATTTAAGTGATACCTTTAACCATTTAAAACACCAGTTTTCCTTTAAAAATTTTTTTTCTAAATACATGCCCCTTGATTTAGGATAGTGAGTAGTATAGTAGAATCACTGTAAATTTCCTTTAGAGAAAATGTGTCATAGAAGTTTCTCAGTTTTAGGGCCCATACATTCATGCCATAAGTGCATATATATAAACTTGTTATAATGCTACAAAGTTGTCTACATTATATGACTGATTAAGCTAGTCACTTAATTTGAATTAAATTATGCATATTATATATTTTATATTATTTATATAAATATATACTTATTTTATATATTGTTTTAGCTCAGGTTGCCATAACAAAATGCTCAGGCCAGGTCACTTAATTAAACAACAGATATTTATTTTTTCACAGTTATGGAGGCTGAAGTCCCAGATCAAGGTCCAGAAGGTTTTGGTTTCTGGTGAGACCTCTCTTTCTGGCCTACAAATGGTGGCCTTGTGGTGTCCTCACATGGTCCTGCCTGTGTGTGCATGTGGAAAGAGAGCAGGCAAGCTCTCTGGTATCTCTCCTTAAAAGGACACTGATTTTATTGGATCAGGACCCCAACCTCACTTAACCTTACTTAGTCTTTACTCCAAATATAGCCC